ATCTAGTGGGGGGGTCTAATGGGGGGAGGGGCTTGGGCTTGGGGGGTGTTAATGGGGGGGGGCAGGTTGGAGCCCGCTAAGCAAGTCTAGAAATGTATATTGTGCTCAGAGCTTAATGGGAAGGTTAGCACCTTCTTCCATCTGTACTCATTATATCTGCTGCCTTTCACGGCTTGACTATGGCTAAGTAGATGGGGGTGCTTCATGGGGAGGCCTGTACCCGGGTGCGCGCTTATGGGAAGGGGTATTATGGGAAGGTAATAAACGTAGGAGGGACCGAAGGGGAAGTTTATATGCAGAGGGCGTGTATGGGTGTGTGGCTAATAGAAAATTCGCAGCTAGGTAGGCGAGGCCTAGGTGGGGGGGGGGGGGGGGGGGGGGCGAGGGCAGAATAGTTAAATAGAAGGGTAGAATCTTGAGGGGGGGGGAAATGAGATGATGTGGCAATTGACTGGGCTTTAGCAAAGAGGGTGCTGAATGTTTTTTTGTCAGTTGGTAATATAGTTGGGGTAGACAAACATTGGGACCCAGGGAAGACGTCCTGTGAGGGGTGTAATTGAGGCAAGGGTTGCAGGCTGGAAATCATGTTTCTGAAAGGCGTTTGAGTGGTGCTTGGGGGTGGGAAAAGGGTGACCGTATGGGACAGGTGACACAGTAGGAAAGAAGGATTTGTGCTTTCATAGGGCTGCATAAGGGTGTATGTATTTTGGGGCTGTTGGATTGACCTGAAAGGAGGAAAAGGTTAAATTTAACTTGGGTAGTGAAGGGAATATACATTGGGGTGGAAAGTGACAGGTAAAGCGTAGGGGATGTGGAAGTGCAGTGACCAGAGTGGAAATGGGATTGTAAAGAGATGCAGTGAGAAGGCTTTGGGAACAAATAAGAATGAAGGTACACCTTCCTAGGAAATATCAGTAGTTAGTTGGGGCTGAGATGAGAGGAAGAATGGGAGGGGTGTTAAGTGCAGGCTGGGCTCATAAGTAGTTATTTGTGGAACAGGACTACTGCTTATGATGTCTAAAGCATGTTTTAATCATGCATATCTGCTTTCATCCTTGATTGTAGTGAGGGAGATGTCAGCTTTCTGGTATGTGGGAAATGTTGGCAAAAACCATCATTTGCTCTTTTTTGCTTCTCTCTTTACCTTCCTGGGTATTTTCTTCTAGGTGTTGGAGGCACCAGTGGTGCTAGTCTGTGAGCGCCATGTACAATGGGATAGGACTCCCCACTCCCCGTGGTAGTGGCACCAACGGTTACGTACAGCGCAACCTGTCAGCCGTGCGCCACAAGAAGGATCGCACAGACTACAAGTCGGAAGAGGAATTGAGGAAGCTGGAGTCGTCCTTGGTCAAAAAACCTAACCAGGATATCCTGGATCACGAACGCAAGCGGAAAGTTGAGCTGAAATGCTTGGAGCTGGCTGAGCTCATGGAAGAGCAGGGGTAGGTTGTCCCAAGATGGGAGGGTGAAGCATAGTTGTTGAGATCATGGCTATGTGCTCCTTCAAAAACAGGGATGGAGATTGGCATTGGGTGGAAATGGATCAAACTCATGGGAAAATGTGGTTTACCCTATCTGGGAATTTGCCTTGCACCCATAAATGCTGTGCTTCTGTTACTTATTTAGTGAGCTATAATAAGAGTGAAAATTCTGTTTAGTAGAAATTTGATTAGACAGTTTTATCGGGTTTGCATAGTTATATTTGGAAAGTTAATTCTGCTGGATTCCAGCAGTGAAAACCGCATTTTTGATAGGCAGTGAAAAATAATCTCTAGTGACAGTAACAGTATAGTATTGGTAAAAGAATCAGCCTTGTAAAGTGAGCTGGTATTATTATCTTTTATATTGATACTCCTCCAAATGTCTAGATCAGAATTCAGCTGACAGCTGTCTTCCTCCCAGCTACCAGCTTTCATTCCTGAGGTCAGAAGGAGAAGCAGTCAGGAACCCTTCCACCATGACAGGACCTGGACTTAGAAACTCTGATAATCTTTTATTTATATCTGTATTTTGAATTCCTGTAAGCTGCCAATTTTTGGCTGAAAAGCAGGGTTAAATACATAATTGTGTGGTGGAGGTGGAGATAATTCCTGGCCAAAGGTCACATGGTCAGTTCATGACAGAGATGAACTATAGAATCAGTGTGCTGAAGTGATTAGTATGAAGCTATGACCTGAAAAACCCAGGTTTGAATACCCACCCTTTCACGGAAGCTTGCTGGGTAGCCTTGGAGCAGTCACACTCTCAATCTCCCTCACAAGCGTGTTGTGAGGATAAAATGGAGGCAATTACAACATTGTAAACCACTTTGTGTCCTTGTTGAGGAGCAGTGTGGGCTATAAATGTCTTAAGTAAATAAGAGGTAAGGTTTGAAGCCAATATCTACTGGTTTAGATTTCATTGTTTAGCCACTTTGCTATATTAGATCAAAGTTCTCAGCCTTTCATAGGGTGAGATCTTGGATCAATTGTAAATGGAGAGGGAGATGGTTTTAGATGGGTAACTATGTTACTAGGACAAAATCTGAGTCCAGTAGCACCTTAAAGACCGGCATTTTTCTCACGGTATAAATTTTCATGAGTCAGAGCTCATTTTTTATATATCTGATGAAGTGGACTTTGATTCAGGAAAGCTTATACCTTGGAAAGTTTTGTTGGTCTCTACTGGACTTGAATTTTGCGCTCTTTGTAAACTCTGTTTTGCCTTGATTGACAAGAGACCCTTATGTAACTGATAAGCTTCCTGAATTTGTCCCCTGACAAACCAGGTATGGAGAAGGGGAGATCCAAGAGAAGGTAGCCACTTTTCGGATGATGCTTCTGGAGAAAGATATAGCAGTGGTCAAGGAGGGGGAACAGCAGCAAAAGCCCACGTAAGTACGGTGTCTCAGTGGGTCTTGGCTCTGATGCCTTGACATTCCCTCTCTCTCCCATTCTGTTGGACCCTGTTGCTTCTCAGCTCTTTCTGTATTTCAGACTCTTGTCAGCCTCATTTCTCCCCTTCCAACTAATTGCTTCTTTTCTGCACCAGTGTCACAGAGACTCATCAGCTGGCTGAAGCCAATGAGAAGAAGAATGAGAGGCTCCGAGCAGCATTTGGGATTAGTGACAACTATGTGGATGGCAGCTCCTTTGACCCTAACCGTAGGGCAAAGGAAGCTGCAACCGCTGCAGCAGCTAAACAGCAGCAGGAGCAGCAAAAGCAGCACAGGTATGTGGGGATCACCACTCGGGGTCAGGAAAGGCAGGCAAAGCTCTGCTGGCAAAACATAAAATATCATCATCTTTCACTTTTCCATTTCTAATAAACTACAGTTCACATGGTACTTCTTATTAGGAACAGAGGTGTGTGTTTAGATCTACCTGAGCTGAAAATGCACCTGAAAAATACCTTATTGATATCTTTAGGGTATATTGCGGTTTCCCAAATGTATCTGGGCTTTCTCGGGAAAACAGGAGGGGTTTTTTTAAAATCCTGGATATATTTAGGAATTACCGATAGATCTGAAAACAGTGGAGAGATGGGAGTAATCTGCTGCAGGAGAAGCCATCCCAGCTAGGTCTATGTGTGGCAGGGAGAGACCTCCCTGTGGCACGCAGATCCTCGGGCTAGCTTCTCCTGCAGTGCTGCAGAAGTTAAGTCCGACCCAGGATTGGGCTGGCTTTTTTTTTTGAAATTGGTATTCTTCTCGGGTCTGTTGGCACCGAAAACATTCTGTATTTCCAGAAACTCCTGTAAATACCGAACTTTTGGGGAGTTCAGTATACCTGAACCAAAAAATGCCAATTAAAAAAAATTGCACATCCATATTTAGGAATAGGTAATAGACGTGGGAATTCATGTGGTGGCCTTGAAATGGCTTGCGTCATTTCTTCATGGTTGGGGACAGGATGGCACTAGGAGAGGGTGTCACCTTGCCACCCTTTGGTGTGTCGGGTCCATGAAAGGGCAGTCTTCTCTCCTGTGTTATTCAACATTTATATTTGCCCCCTTGCCCATCTGGCACTGAATTTCAGGCTGGGTTGCCATCATATCTGTTGATGGATGGCAGGATGGATACTGCCCCATCCGCTCTGGCCGAGGGGCTGGAGACTGTGATTGGGTGGTTGAAACAGAGCCGACAGAGACTGAACCCATCAAAGACAGAGGTTCTGTTGCTGGGTAGGGGAGATGCAGGAATGAGATGTCATCTCCTGGCTCTTGACGGTGCACCTCTAGCACCAGTGCAGACTGCCAAAAGCCTGGGTGTGATTCTGGATGCCTCCTTATCAATGGAGGCCCAGGTCACTAATGTTGCAGCACCGGTGTTTCCAATGATGCCAGATCAGGCAACTAGTCCCCTTCCTCTGTCACCCTGACCTAGCTACTGTAATCCATGCAAGAGTCACCTCCAGGGTAGACTACTGTAATTTACTCTATGTAGGGCTACCCTTTGAGGCTGACTCAGAAATTACAACTGGTCCAGAATGCTGTGGCTTGGGCCCTCATGGGGGACCCCTTTGACAGCACATATCCTACTGGTGCTTTGCCAGCTGCACTGCCTCCAGGTTGCATACCAGATCAAGTTCAAGGTTTTGGTGTTAACCTTTAAGGCCCTAAACGATCTAGAGCCAATGTACCTATGGGACTGCTTGTCTTGGTGTACTCCCTGTAGAGCATTACGCTAGAAGGAGCAAAATCTGGTGATCCCTGGCCTGAAAGAGATCTGGCCTTCTCGGCCTTGGCACTGGTGGAACTTTTGGCACTGGTGGAACTCTCTGCCTCGTGACATCCGTGCCTTGCGGGAATGGTCCAGTCCGCAGGGCCTGTATGACAGAGATGTTCCTCTGGGCCTATGGTTGAGGACAGCAACGGTTTGTCATCAAGCCTGGCCTCCCTTACTCCCCCTAGGAGCAGGGTATAATTTCTTAGTCAACACCATCTGAACAGACTTTTAACTTATATTGTCGTTGTTTAACTGTTTTTACTGTTAATTGTTTTAGTTGTGTATCACTAGATGCTGTGCACTGCCCTGAGCCCTCCGGGGGAAGGGCAGTCTATAAATTTAATTAATAAAACAAATAATAAAACAGAAAACTGCGTAAGCTTTAGAATTCTCCAGAATTCTTCCTAAGGCTTCATGTTATGAGGTTAAAAATAGTGGGGGGGGGGGAGGAAAAAGAGATGCTTGAGGCCGTGATTTAAAATTCCTTTTTTGCCAGCATTCCTGTGTCAAGAGTAGATACACATTGATACCTTTCTGTTTCTACCTGCTACTGTAATTTGCTGTGACGTGGACAGCCGAGGCTAGCCTGATCATATCAGATCTCGGAAGGGTTGGCCCTGGTTAGTTCTTGGATGGGAGACCACCAAGGATGTCCAGGGTTGCTACGCAGAGGCATGCAATGGTAAACCACCTCTGAATGTCTCTTGCCTTGAAAATGCTACAGGGTTGCCATAAGTTGGGTGCGACTTGATGGCAAAAAATGAACACCCCGCCTATAATTTATTAGGGGAAGATGACTGGAATGAAGGGAGAATGGAAAAGGCATTGGGTTGGATCCTGTCAACTTTTTGTTTTAGTGAAAAAGATAGAAGGGAATCCCTTTTGACCACCCAAAAAGACCATTCTGGGAATCATGGGTCCTTCATGGACAAAAGTCAAGTGGGATGAGGTCTGCAGTAAGGAAGGGAATTGGGCAAAATTATTTGAAAAATAATTCGAAAAAACTTAATCCTTCGCTCTTTGTCTTCTTCTTCCTAGTCTTGTCCGAGAGTCCAGCAGTTCCCGCTCACCGTCTCCAAAACAGAAAAAGAAGAAAAAGAAGAAAGACAGAGGCAGGTGGGTGGGCGGGCCAAGCCTTTTGACCTTACCTCCAAAGGACTAAAATGTGGGAGTTGAGTGCTGGAGAGAGAAGGAAGAGCAGTAATGTGTACCTGTCAGGAGGACGGTGCCAACCCCCTCCTGACTACGCAGGAGCCCATCCCGTCAGCTCTCATGGGCAGAGAAACACCAAACCCCGACCTTTCCCGGGAGGCCCGGGTATCCTGGCCATGTACCCAAAAAGGGATGGCACACCCACACAGGGAGGGGCCTGAGGCAGTGGGGGTCACTGGGCTAGGCGACAACGCCGGGACAGGCGGACGGAAGGATGGCAGGTCAACCGAGACCACTTTCCCTTTGAATGGTGGGTGGTGGAGCGGGTGCTTTAAGAAGTGGTTCTTGGGTGGTCTACCAGGTGTATCAGAAGTGGGAATAAAAAGAGGGAAAGCAGGTGAAACCGGGGAGGATGAGGACAAGGAGAGTTACGGAGGATAACGGAGGGGAGTGCCTGAAACTCGGACCCGTTAGAACGTCTCCCTTGTCGTTGTTATGGAGTGGCGTTAACTCCTGCACAACATATCTGAGGTGAACCCTGCTGACTCAACTAATTCCTGCCGACACATCCTGGAGCCCGCTCAAAACCCTCCCGGTCTCTGATCCCAGTCAGAGCGTGACAGTACCCTTGTCAAAGGCAGCAGGGTCTGGATTAGTGAGACAAGATTAAAGGAGTATTGTCTTGTGAGTCCATCATGGCCTTTTCAGACATGTAATATTCCCATTTTGCTTGCCTTTCCAAGGTCTGAGAGCAGATCGCCTTCTCGAAGAGAGAGGAAAAAAAGCTCAAAGAAAAAGAAACACAGGTAAGGGATTGTTCTGGGAAACATGCAATGTATTCCAAGGTATTGGGTTCATAGTTACTGCCAGTTACTCCTCAGTAGTAGCTCGTTTCTTCTGTCTTCGTCAAGTATGAATGAGAGAAAACTATCCTTTTGCTTCCTGTAATGGAACATAGGCTTTGTTCTGTTTTCCATATGAAAATTTTTGCATGATGGGTAGTAATAGTCTTAAAGTTTGTTTTTTTTCACATTCACATACCGTTTATTGTGTTATCAGTGATGAATTTTTCAGTGATGAGTTTTCTGTAACACATTAGCTGTAAAGATGATGTACTTGGGGATGGAGACTTCACACTTTAAGCAATCGTCATATTTTGGGGCTGCAACAGAATTGAGATTTCGGACACAGCATTGGGTATCTAGGTATCTGGCAACTGTCAGGTCTTGTTCTTTTTTTCCAGGTCGGAGTCAAAGAAAAGGAAGCACAGGTATGTGTTTGTGAGACATAAACTGCGTCCCTGGTTATGTTTTCCCAACCCAATTTGAGAAACACACAAAACAGTCCTGTAGAGAAGAAACACTAAAAAAATTATTAATTAATAAGGGAAGAGCACAGATAAACAAGGGTTTGGGACCCTCAAGTACCCACCAACTCCTCCAGAATTACAATGGGTGACATAGAATTTTATACTCAATATGACATAAACAAGCAAAGCATAACTATTGGTTCCATTAACTGTGTCACAAATTTCTAATTGGGCTAAGACCTGTGGGTTGGGTCTTCCCAAGTAAAGTTTTTTTTCCTTTTAGCTAAACAATAGACACTTCTTCTTAGGCTATGAAGCTTTAAAAGTATCTATATAGCTGATATAGTTACAGGGTGTTATTGTTCTCCATTTAGTTAGGCTAACTGATATCAGAAACATGTGCAGCTGTAGCTGGCCAGTCAAGGCCATAAGCCTTAGCAGAGTAGTAGCATGTTAGCATTTTTATTCTCCCAGCATGCATTTAAGCAATAGCCATAAATGAACCAAAGTTAATATCTGAATATGTGTTCATGGTTGATTTCGGTTTATGTGGTTAGAATCATGAATGGCACTTAACACACACACACACACACACACACATATTGGAGGAAGTACTAAGTGTACCTACTAAGTTAACTTGTTAGCCAGTGGCAGAGTACAAAGTGTATAACAGTGTTTCATAAACTCTGCGTGCAACATGTTTGTTGTTCATTAATCATAGTTTTCAGCTCTCGCTTCCATTAATTCTCACAGCCACTTTTTTGAGGTTAGTACAGACTGAGAAATAGTGAATTCCTTGAGGATATCAAGTTATCTCCTTTGTGGAGTGGTGAATCTTGGTCTTTCACATTTAAACCATGTGCTAGTACTGTGCAGCACCAGTCTTGGTTGTGAATGGGGAGGCAACATTTGAGGGAGGGAGGCTCTCTTATACAAAGTGTGATGTCCTGCATACATGATGGGGGTGGGATGGAGTGGACAGGACCTAGCTATGTCATGTCATTTCTGAATGCTGCAAAATGAAAATTCTTTCCTCAGATCTCCAAGTCCCAAGAGCAAACACAAATCCAAGGAAAAGAAACGAAAGAGGTAAAGCAATGTCTTTTACCCTTGAAACCCCTCATTGCTGAAATGGACCTTTTTTGCACTCTGCTTCACTTGGGTTTCTAACCATGTCTGCTTTGGGTTTCTAACCATGTCTGCTTCAGGTCCACCAGCGAGTCGACATCTCAGAAAGACCGCAGGGATCGCTCTTCCTCCCCAGATGGCTCTTCATCTGATGGCTCCCACAGCAGGTAGGACGTGGAATGGGAAGCTGAGAACTGGGCTTTTTGTAATAGCATTGTTAACCTGCACAGAGTGTTGTGGGTAATTTGAATTCCAAACTTTTGGTTTACTTGTCAGCAGGTCAGGCAGTGTCAGTACCCAGAAACGGGCTACAGGTAGACGGCAGAGCAAATCCCCTTCAACAACTTCACAGAAGCGAGGAGAAACTGAGGAGGTTTCCAAGAACCTGCCAGAGAGAGAACGTTCATCTTCTGCTGAACGAGCCCGGCATGGCAGAAGCACAAGTCCAAGACCCAGTAGAGAAAAGCAGGAGGTAAAATATAGTGCTGTAAAACTGAATTGCCTCAGGAGGTCCATACTGAGAGTTGTGTTCTGGGACAATAGTAGGAAAGAAACCATGGAGGGTTGGATTACTGGTCTGATGGTTATTTTCTCTTTCACTGTTTAGAAAGCTGCGTCCAAACGTTCTCCAGTACATGAGAGTCGCCAACGTTCTACCACCCCCCCACCTGCTAGAGAAAAGGAAAGAGACAAGGAGAAGAAGGCTGCTCGGCATGGGGGTCGGAAATCTACTCCATCATTTGAACAGGATTCAAAGTTCAAAAGTCGTTCCCCAATGCCAAATGATTCTCCAGAAAGAGCCTTGGGGCACAAGCGTCCCTCCTCCAAGGAGAGCAGGTCTCCCGCCTCTGTGTCCCCACCTCCTAAGAAGACCTCAGAAGATCGTAATGGGACACTCCCATCATCCAAGTCCAAGACATCCCCTGAACAGAGGCAGCATCTGGCAGCTTCTTCATCTTCTCCTGCTTCTAAAGCTATTGAGCCCAAGTTGAGAAAGACTTCTCATGATGGCTCTCCACCCCAGCGCTCCCGTTCCCCTTCAGAAAGTGGTAGCTGCTCCTCTTCCTCCTCCTCCTCTTCCTCCTCCTCCTCTCCTTCCTTAGCAAAGAAGCCAACTCAGGCTTCCCGTAGTTCTTCCCCTGAGGAGCCTCCCAAAAGACAAAACAAAGAGAAGGGTTCCACCCAGAGAGAGAGATCTAGTTCATCCCCTGAGATCTCCCGTTCTGGGCAGAAGCAGTCAGCTAAGACCACAACAAGACGTGAACGTTCAGGCACACCTCCAGCCAAGAGCACTAAGTCAAGGGCCAGGAGGAGGGACAAATCTCTTTCCCAAACACCCATTACTCGCAGAGGTAGATCTCGGTCTCGCACCCCACCTAAGAGGGCCAGATCTCGTACCCCTCCAAGGAGGGGAAGGTCTCGCTCTGCTCAACGTCGTGCTCGATCTCGTTCACGTACCCCTCAAAGGAGGGCACGATCTCGTAGCCCGCAATGGCGGGGACGCTCAAGAACACCCCAGCGCTGGGGCAGGTCACGCTCACGCACTCCTCCCAGATGGGGCCGGTCCCGTACTCCTCAGAGGCGTGGCTGGTCTCGTTCCAGAACCCCCCAAAGGCATGGATGGTCTAGAAGCAGAAATAGTGGGAGATGGGGAAGGTCAAGAACCCCACCAAGAAGGGGCAGGTCACGTTCAAGAACCCCACCAAGAAGGGGCAGGTCTAGATCTAGAACTCCGCCTCGACGAGGGAGGTCTCGGTCCCGAACCCAGCCTAGAAGAGGGCGGTCTAGAACAAGAAGCCCTCCTAGGAGGGGTAGGTCAGTCTCTTCACCAAGGAGGGAGAAATCTTTGATTTCTGCTAGACGAAGCAGGTCTGTATCATCTCCAGATCGGAAGGCCTCCAGAATTTCTTCAAGAAGAAGCCGATCTAATTCTTCCCCCCAAATAAGAGAGAGAGCCAGAAAACCATTGAGACGTAGCCAATCTCTGTCATCTCCTGAGTCAAGAAGCAGATTGCGAGCATCTCCAAGACGTAGTCGGTCTCAATCACTTCAAAAAGCAAAAAAGAAGTCCCACTTATCTCCCAGAAGGAGTCGTTCAGGGTCCTCCCCGAGATCAAGGAAGAAAAAGTCAAGGACACCCCCACGACGTAGTCGCTCTTGTTCTTCTCCAAGACCGAAAAAGAAATCCAGATTATCACCAAGACGAAGCAGGTCTGGTTCTTCGCCTAATAAAAAATCCAGGTCACCTGCCAGGCGTAGCCAGTCTAGGACACCTCCAGGACCCAAAAATAAATATAGAAGGTCCCCAAGAAGAAGCAGATCTGGCTCATTGCCAAGACTCTCAAAGAAATCTGAGGTTTCTTCAGCTGTTGAAGAGAAATCTAAAATGCCTTTCAGAAGGAGTCGATCTGGATCATTGCCGGCATTGAGAAAATCTGAATCTCCTGGAAGACGTAGCAGATCAGGTTCTTCACCAGATGTAGAGAAAAGATCGCCTAGGAGACGGAACAGGTCTGAATCTTCTCCAGAAGTCAAAACAAAGTCAAAGTTGTCATCAAGGGCAGGATCATCACCAGGAACAAAGAAAAAGCTGAAGTCTCCTCCAAGACGGAGCAGGTCTGGATCCTCTCAGTCATCAGCGAAAGAAAGCTCCTTATCTCCTCCAAGACGAGCCACCTCTGTAGAGCCGAAGTCCACACCGCCATTGCAGCGAAGCAGGTCTGGGAGATCCCTTGCAGCTAAAGAAAAATCCAGATCACCAGTCCTAAGGCAGAGCAGGTCTGGATCACCTCCAGCTGTGAGAGAGCAGTCTGCCTCTCCTCCAAGGAGACCTTCATCTGGATCTTCCTCAGAACCAAAGAAGAAATCCACTTCACCGCTTGGGAAACATAGAATTGACTCTTCTCCAAAGTTGAAGAAATCTAGATTATCACCAAGGCGGAGCAGGTCTGGTTCTTCTCCACTGATTGAAGAGCAGTCTAGATCGTCTCCCAGAAGCAAGTCCAGATACTCTCCTGATGTGAAAAAATCCACATCACCTTTGAAACAAGTCAGGTCTGGGCCCTCTCCTTCAGCAGTGAAAGAGAAGTCTAGGTCCCCTGTCAGGAGAAGTGGGTCCCAATCATCTCCTGAACTAAATGGCAAACCTAAATCTCCCCCAAAGCAAAATAAATCTCAAGAAGTTAAAGTAAAATCTGGATCACCTTCAAGGCACAACAAATCTGGATCCCTGGTAGTAATGGAGAGAGCTATGTCACCATGCCAGAAAAGCAAGGCAGGTTTATCTCTGTCTGGAAAAGAAAAATCACATTCACCCCCAAGGCCATGCCAGCCTGCAGCGTCACCTGTTCTTAAAAAGTCAGAGATTCCATTGAGGCGAAGTAGATCTGGATCTTCCTCGTCTTCCTCCTCCTCTTCCTCCTCCTCTTCTTCCTCTTCCTCCTCCTCCTCCTCATCTTCTGCAGAGGAAGATAAGCCTCGATCACCCCCAAGACTGAGCCGTTCTGCAACACTGTTGGTTAACAAAGGCAAATCTGTGTCTTCTCCAGTGCGCCGCAGGTCAGATTCCTCCCCAGAGCCAGAGAGCACCACATCTGCTGTTGCTGTAAAACACAACAGACCTGGAGTTTCTCCAGAAGTCAGAGAGACTTCAAGAGCTGCAGTATTGGGGACTAGATCACCTTTGGAGAAGAAAGAAACACCCAGAGATGCTCCTCGGAGGAGTAGGTCAAGGTCATATTCTGGCAGTAAAGAGAAACCAAGAACACTCTGCAGTGGGAGCAGTTCAGGATCTTCTCCAGAGCAAAAGGAGAACTCTGTAAGCAGGTCTGTGTCACCTGTGAGGCCTACTATAAAATCAAGAACACCTCCAAGGCACAGGACATCACGCTCACCCCCAAGGCCTAGAGCAAAATCTAGAACTCCCCCAAAGCGTGGCAGGTCTGGGTCACCACCAAGGCCCAGAGTGAAGTCCAGAACACCCCCAAGGCGACGTAGATCTGGATCATCTCCAAGACCTAGAATGAAATCCAGAACACCTCCTAGGCGCCGCAGGTCTGGATCATCCCCAAGACCCAGAATGAAATCAAGAACCCCACCACGTCGGCGCCGTCGGTCTGGGTCATCTCCACGACCCAGAGCAAAATCTAGAACTCCTCCACGACAGCGCAGGTCTGGGTCATCTCCACGACCCAGAGAGAAATCTAGAACGCCAGTTACGAGGCAACGAAGATCTGTGTCACCACTGAGCCCTAGACGAAAATCTGGAACACCTCTGAGACGTGGAAGGTCCAGATCTCTCTCTAGGCAGAAAAATGCCAGTGTGCACCTGGGTAGGTCTGAGTCTTCATCCTACCATGATAGACCAAGAACTTCCATGAGACAAGGAAGGTCTGGTTCCCCCTCAAGGAGGAGCCGCTCCCGTTCACTGTCTAGACGACAAGATAAATCAAGGGGCTCGCTGCGGAGGGAAAGATCTGTCTCTTCCCCGGGCCGGAGCCGCTCACGGTCTGCTTCTCGTCAGGACAAATCTCGCTTCCTGTGGAAGGGCGAGCACTCACCTCGCAGAGGCCGTTCCCGATCACCAGCACAAAGAGAAATGTCGAGACTGTCTCCACAAAGATCTGCCACTAATCGGAATGCATCCCGTTCACCTCCCAGGTTAGATGCTTCCCGTGGAACAGTGGCCTACAAAAGTAGCGGGTCCAGAATCTCTCCTGATTTCCAGTCATCCCCAGTACGGAAGCGTTCCAGATCAGGCTCCCAGGAAATCTCTGCTTCTCCAGGAAGGAAATCCCGTTCTCCTCCAGTGCTGGAGAAATACCCCAAGTCCGATGTTCAGGAGAAGTCAGCAGCTTCCTCACATTGGCACAGCAAAAGCAGCACTGCCGTTCCTCGCACCCCAACTCCACCCCGCGAGGATTCTCCCAAACCCCGAAAGAGCTTGTCTCCTGCTCCATCCATGCTACAGGAATTGCCTTCTGTCTTGAAGAATGGTGGTCCCGCTACTCTCCATGACATCCCAGGGGACAGGAATCAGGCTTTACATCCTATTGTGGCTAGGGATGATGCAGCTGTCGGTGTTTCTCTGTTGTCAGGGAGAAGCAGTTCTTGTGCAGGATCCCCTCTCCCTCTTAGCAAAGCCAGGTCCCCTTCCCCTTCCTCCTCCTCTGCATCCTCCAGTCCCTTGCCAGCACTGGTTTCTGTGCTTGCCCCGCCTCCCAAGGAAGAGGAGCTACGATCTGAAGGAAAGGCAGCAGATAGGCCCGAGGCTCGCCTTCCAACCCTTGAGGCGGAGTCAGAGTTGGCTTCTGAAGTCACAGAGGAGAATGGCAGGAATAGCTGCCCCACCGCCCCACAGCTAGCTCTTCCCTCCCCGCCACCTTCTGCCCCTTCCAAGGTGAAGAGGAGCTCCTCCGCTTCGTCCACGACATCTTCGTCATCTTCGTCATCCTCGTCTTCGTCATCGTCTTCATCTTCTGACTCCGAGTCCAGTTCATCTGAGTCCAGCCCCCACAATCAGCCAGAGAAGGAACTTGAGGCTGAGGTTGTACTGAAACAGTAAGAGCCTGTCTTGTTTGGTTTTTCTACCCTTTCCTGGCCTAGAGGCACCCCCCCCCCTCCATTGGCAGTAACTACACAGTTCTTATTTAGGTGGCGCTTTTGATGTCCTGTGCTTGCCCTTCCCCTGGTAGGTCATCGAAGCTGCTGTGTTCACTTGTGGTGTGGCTGCCCTGGCCAACGTTCCTTGTTGGCCCATTCCCATTAATCTGTTGGTTTCATATCCGTCTTCCCCGTGTCCTTTTAAAATGCTGGAACTGGTTTTTGCCATCGGAAACCACTCTCTCTTCCCTTCATTGGGTACTTTGAGCAGAAGGCAAACACGACTTGGCCCGTTTGGAGCTGTGGTGCCAGCAGCTCCCTTGCTTCATTGAAGCACCTCCGATTGAAATTGATTTCTGGGCTCTTGCAGAGTGTGTAAGGATGGAAATGAAATTCACGTGTGTAGGTTTATGCTGTTTGTATAATTCTGCTTCCAGGGTCCTAGTTTTCTACTTGGGTGGATATTATTTTATGTAGGATGCAGAGCAAGGCGATAGGAGTGTAGTGTGGGAAGATCTGGCTAAGTGGAAGAGAGAGGTTTCTGAAGTTTCAGCCTGCTGAAGGCCCCCCCCCCCATATTCTCTCACTGGCAATACCACTGCTGCTTTTTTCTTCCATGCATATGGGTGGACTGCTGCTGCATTCTGGTTAGCAGCCATGCGAGGGGACCTAGTCTCCTGAGAGATATGGTCACCTGCATGGTTGCTAATAACGATGTTTCAGCAGCCTGTGTGAGTTTTCTTGAGACGTTGAGAACCTAAGATGTTTTCTGATTGGCTTGGAAGGGATAGCAGCTATGCCTCTAAGAGCATTCCCCCGGGGGGGGGAGTGGTCAATGGCAGCTGACTTTACAGCTCTTTTCCATGAGCAATATGAAGCTTTCATCTATTGTTTTTAAACAGGGCTTTCAGCATACTTTACTGTGAGACCCTTACCTGCTTCCTTGTAATAAAGCCATTTTGTTTGTATGTCACTGAGCTTACTAATATCTTTGCTTCACTCAAACACCCCTTGCAGGCCACCAAGCCCGGTGCAGAGAGAAGGTAACCATGAAGAGCAGCCTATGGAACTGGGCAAACATAAGCGGCGGTCTCGGAGCTCCAGCAGTTCCAGCAGCAGCTCTTCCTCCTCCTCTTCCTCTTCGTCCTCTTCCTCCTCCTCGTCTTCCTCAGCTTCCTCCTCCTCCTCCTCCTCATCGTCGTCGTCGTCACCCAAGACTGGACCCCAGGCACAGGCCAAGGTGGCCACCAAAAAGAAACCATCACCAGAGCCGAGGAAGTGAGTAGTGGTTATTGGGGAAGAGCTGGGATCTCCTGATGCGTTCGGGTTCCTCAAGAGCGAGTGGGGTAGATGGTCCCCCAGCCTGAGATGCTGTCTCTCCTATGTGCTTGATGGGTTGTTGCTGACACCACATTCCCAGGAAGTGTGCAGTGTCAAAAAAGGACCTTGGGGCTGTCTTGAGAGGGCAGAGAAAAGAATGAAGGTGAGAGAAGGCAGAAGCTCTGTGGGACAGGTGGAGAGACTGGTTATTGAGCAAGAGGGGCCTCTGTTGAAACCCATATACAGAAGTGCTAAAAAGAGACACATTCTGCACAGAAGTAACCTGAATTGTGGATTCTCCCATTAAGGAACATCTGGGTGCTTGCTTTGCATAATACTGTATCTTTTTGTCTCTACTCATCTTAGGCTTGTGAGGTTTTGCAAGGCTTCTTATCAGAGTGGGCAGTTCCTTTCTTGCAGGTTTAAGATTTTGACACTTTAGAAGAGCCAAACATAATTAAGTTCTTATTATGAATTTAGTTCCAGCCTGTCTGCTTGTCAAGCATGCAAAACCCGTAGATATGTGTTCCCTGAGCTTTCTTTGCATGTCTAACACAACCGCACCATCCTCCAAATCTTTTTTTGCCTGGGCCAAGTGTTGAATGCCATTGTTAACTAGTCTGTCCTTCCTCCCACCACCTGCTGCCTACAGGTCCCGCAGCCCCCGAAAGCCTATTGACTCCCTGCGAGACTCTCGCTCTCTCAGCTATTCCCCAGCAGAACGGCGCCGAGTTTCTCCTCCAACCCAGCCACCTTTAGCTCCGAGGGACAGGCGCAGGTACATAATCCAGTCTTTGTTCTCATAATGTGTATGCTTGGTGGAGAGGAGGGGATTGTTTGGAACAGAGAGGGGGAAATAAGAGAACCTTGAAGTAGGACACTTAAGGCGAAAATGTTCATGCTTTTCTCTAGGGAGAGGTCCAGGGACAGATCCTCTCAGAGGAACAGGCGAAGCATCAGCAGGTCTCCAGGACGGAAAAGGCGACGCAAATCCCCCAGCCCCAGAGCCACCCGCCGCAGAACTTCAAGGTAGTGTGTGACTTGCTGGCTTTAAAAACGAGGCATCTTGCCAAGTTTTACTCCCCTAAGATTGAGTACTTCCAGAAGAAGCTGGAGGGTGTCGGGGAGCATTGACTGCTTTCCTAAAACTATAGAGATAATAGTTAAAGAGATTGGGGGGGGGGGTCCATTGCTCTCCTTAGACAGAGCCTTACATAACTGCAGAGAGTTACCTGCTCTATGTTCCTTCAGACCTCAGAGACTGAGATCCAAAGGGCTGGAGGATGGGCTTGAAGGCCTGTGATGCTGTTCTGTCGCTGAAGCTAAGCAGGTTTGACCTTGTAAGCTTGCCTGGCTGGATCCAGTGCGTAAGCTGCTCTGAGCTTCTTGGAAGAAGTGCAGGGTTTGTGTAAACAAGCAAGAGACCCTTCGATATCAGTACACAGGGAGGCTCCAGTGGGGATAGTGGACCCTTTTCTGCCTTGTTCCCTAATAGGTGGCTTGCAGTCA